CATGAGTTTTGTATAATCTAAAAACATAATAAGTCTCAATTAAAGTTATACTCCTCATTTATGTCCATGTTTTTAATGCTAAACATTTTGTACATTGTGCTTTTAGATTTGTACTATACAATTTTTTTGGACAAAAATACCCTTACCCCGTTATAACTTTCGTTATCTTTTCCATTACTTTTACCATGCACATGCATCTACCATATCTTTTCTTATATTCTTTAATTATAACAATATTTGTAAAACATTATATATTCATTATATATTAGTTTAGTATAATAAATAAATTTTATTTCACCTAGATTATAATTAGTAAAAATTTGTTAGCTATTTTTAAAAATATAAATATTGGGCATATGTTTTTGCGCATCGTGCATAGAAAAGACTAGTAGTATAATAATTGGCTCTTTTGTTATAATTATTGACTTATTGTTATTGTTATTATTATTATGTTGTAAAAAGCTAAGCATATAATGCTATATATTCTTTTAATACTACGACTAGACTAATTTTATTCTTTACAAATTATAATAGTTCTCATTATGTTAAACTATTTTTTTTTTAAGTTGGCGGGAAAAAAGACAACAATAAGAAATACATATAGTTCTTGACTTCATTTTGCCCACAATATCAATAAACAATAGAGACTTCCGTCCATATTTTTAAAAACATAAGCGACCAATTCAAAATTACATGATTTAAAATTTTATTAATCAACACATATTAGCTTTATTGTAGATACACTTGACCATAAAATGCCCATCATGACCTGAACAAGTGTTGTTGCTGTTTTTTAGTCATCATTTGCATAATCCAATCTATCCTATGTATTTTGTTTGAAAAATCATTTACCCCTCTAATTATATATTTTTTAATACTTGGATTGAAGGGGAAAATAAGATTAGTTTTGAGTCAAATAAATATTAAAGATTAAATAAACTATATTGGAACCTAATATATCCTTGCAACTCAAATTACATTAATTAAAAATTTTTTAAAAAATAAAAAAAAATTAAACAAAATAATATACCTCAAAAAAAAAAAAATCATCTTCTTAAATTTTGTCCCACACTTTACATGTACCAACCACCTTAACGAGATGAAGATTGATTACCATAAGTTATCTAATTTTCATAAGATATACATGGTGTTTGGTTGGATGTCATTATAATTCTTTTCCAACCAAATTGTTTAGCATTTGAAACTACATTGGTCTCTTTTAGTATTTATATTACTTATTCATTTTCAATTCCTAGTAATTATATTCATTCATACCAACACAAATATAATTTGAATTCCTACTTTATTCTCAACTTATTATCCTACATACATCCCGAATTGAAATTCAAAAGTAATAGGGAGAGGATAAAATAGAATGACAAAATTACCCTTGACTATAATTATTACACAATGATATTTTAGTCGTTATATCACTTATTCCTTTCAACTCATTGTAATTATATTCATTCATACTAACACAAATGTAATTCGAATTCCTACTTTATTCTCAACTTATTATTTTCCCCACTAAATTACAGTTGTGTTATCATTAATTATCTCATATCAACGAAATGTCCGGTAAGTAACGACATGCAATAATTCAGAATGTTGATGGAAAGTGAATTTATTTCCAAAAAAATGTTGGGTTAAATTTCAAGAAATTAACAATCCAGGGACCAGGGTGTTAATTTGATACTCAAATATGTACTGAACTGAACGTACTGTGTAAGATGTTGACCAACACACAACATAGAAAGGCGCGTGGATGGAAGTTGGTCAAAAATGTACAGAACAAAATTCACACGAAAGCCCACAAAAAATGTCATGTCTTTTACACCTCGGGAGAGAATTGACAAATTATTCGGTGGACTTGTCATAGTGTAATGTGAATCGGTTTATAATTTCACAATTTATATATTAAATGTTCACAATTTACACACTAAATATTTATAATTGTTATATATATTAAATGTTCACAATTTATATGCTGAACATTCAAAAAATAAGTTATTTTTATAAATATTATTTTTTAAGAGAATATTTTTCAAGATTTCAAAAGGAATTCTAAAATTTTAAAAAGAAAAAAAGTGGGGTGTTACTGTGTTACGTGCTACACAATTACACACAAAAGAAAAAGTTAGTGGGCTGGACTGGCTATGGTCATCTTTACTGGTGTACGTGCTACACAATTACACACGTTTGTAAATAGTAATGATATATTTGGGTATAATAATACAACTATTTTTTTTTTTAAGAGGATACACCTAAATTTTAGATGTATTGTAATAATAAATCACTTTTCTATTTTTTTTTTGAAAGGATCACTTTTTTTTTTTGAAAGGATACACATAAAAATAAAGGCTATTTAAAAAAAATTAACTACATTGCACATAAATCTATCTTTGTTGCAAAATATATCATTGGAATAAGGGTCAAATAGGCCACTGAATTGCACACCAAAGTGCAATTAGGCCATCGAACTCAAAAACAATGCAATTGGGTCCCTGAACTACACAAAATCATGCAATTAAGTCCAAAATGGCTTGTTTACCTGAGATGCAGGTTACCAATTTTAAAAATAATTTATAAATATATTTTAAAATAAAATAATTAATTAAAATTATATAATTATAAAAAAAAAAAACTAAAACTGCCGGAGACGAAGCCTGCCGGAGACGATATCGTCTCCGGCAGTTCTAGTTTTTTTTTTTTAAAAAAAATTTAATTAAATATTTTATTTAAAATTATATTAAAATTTTATTTTTAAAATTGATAATCGCCACGTCAGCACAATTTCAGGTCAACAGGTCATTTTAGACCTAATTGCATGATTTTGTGTAGTTTAGGGATCCAATTGCATTATTTTTGAGTTCGATGGCCTAATTACACTTTGGTGTGCAGTTCAGTGACCTATTTGACCCTTATTCCTATCTCATTTGCATTCTGCACTCTATTAATATATATTTAAAAGAGGGAAGAAGGAATGTCAATCATAAGTAAAAATAAGTTAAAAGGGCTTGTTTGTATTTAGGGAAAATGGCACTTTTTCCCCCTATGTTATATGCTTATAGCACTTTTTCCCCCTGAATTATTCATGCATCCACATTTGCCCCCTCAATTATTATAAAAGTGGCGGTTTTTCCCCCTGATAATATTAAATAGACATTTTTACCCTTAAAATACATATTTTATTTATTTCTCTTGTTCAACAAATTATTGTTTATACGTAGGGATGGTCACGGTTCGGTTCGAACTGAACCGAACACTATAGCAATCAAATAAAAAAAAAATCTGTTATGATTCATAACATAACCCAATATTTGGGTTTCCGTTTATTAAAATTGTGAAGTGGAAAAAAATAGATTCTGAACCGTGAACCAGAGGTTCAAATCGGAACAACTACTAGCAATAGCTTAAAATTAGAATTATAATATTTGCAAATAGTGTATGTTTTTTTCGTATTTATATTGACTCTCACATATAAGTATATATAATCGCGATTTGGTTTTTATTTTGAATCGTTGTTTCACAATTTCTGATCCAATTTGAACTGTTGGTTCAAACTTTATTTTAAAATTTTATTTTTTTATTTTTAAAGTATTCTAAATTCAACAATTAATGTATTTTATTTTTTTAAATTGTGGTTATAAATTGTTGGAGAAGTAAAATAAAGGAAATATTTATTTTAAGGGTAAATATGTCCATATAATATATCAGGGGGAAAAATTACCACTTAAATAATATAGGGGGAAAAAGTGCTATAAGTATATAACACAGGGGGAAAAAGTGCCATTTATTTAGGTAAGCACATTAGCCCCTTCAATTATTCTAAAAGTGGTGCTTTTTCTCCTGATCTATTAAATTGACATTTATACCCTTAAAGTAAACATTTTATTTATTTTACTACTCCAACAAATTATTGCGTATACGTAGGGATGACCACGGTTCGATTTGAATTGAACGGATACTAAAGCAATCGAATTAATAGTTTACGGTTATAATTTAGATCTAGAACCCAATATTTAAATGTCAATTTATTAAAATTATGTATCAAAAAAATTGAATCTTGAACCGTGAACCGGCGGTTCCGGATCTGATTCGCGGTTTTGAACCGTCTTTATTTTAAAATTTTATTTTTTATTTTAAAATAGTCTAAATTCAAAAATAAATATATTTTATTTTTTCAGTTCGGAACATGAACCGTCCGTTCCGGTTCACGATTTTAATAAACTCTAAATATCGAATTTCGATTCTAAATTGTAATTGGAATATTTCGGTTTGGTTGCTATAGTGTTTGTTTAGTTGGAACCAAATTATGGTCATAATTTGTTGGAGAAAAAAATAAATTAAATATTTAGTTTAAGGGTAAATATGTCCATTTAACATTTCAGGGGGAAAAACAGCCACTTCAATAATTTAGGGGGAAAAAATGCTATACGTATATAACTCAGGGGGAAAAAGTGCCATTTTTTAAAACCACCTTTCATTTGGAAGATTCACAATTATGACTCTTGACCACAAGAGATATTTGACTCTAATTGTTAAATACTCTGTAATTTATTATTCAAGAACACACCGAGGTGTGCTTAAAAGAAAAATATGAAATACTATACTCTCAGCAATCAGATTAAATATATTGTGCTTAAATGACATATACTGACCTCTTTCATGTGGAAAGTAATGAGATCGAGCATTATTGCTAGACCTAATCCCAATCGATCCAAATCTCATAGTGAATGGTCAATGTCTGTTTTACATGTCAGAAGATTTTAAATGCACCATATCACTCTTCTTTTCTACACTACACATTATTCTAACCTTCAATCATCACGCTACTGTTACTCTATGCTATGCAACAGCCTACAGTACAGTACAGTACTACTCTTTTCACAATTTTTTTTTACCCCCCACTCTTCTCCACTTTTGATGATCTGCTTTTTCTTCATTTCTTTTAATGGTGGCTGTGAAAGGGAATTGATAAAAGCTTTTTTATTTTTATTTTTTTAAATTTTTATGGTGGGGTGTTTATTTTGTTTTTTCTTGAATACCTCATCTTCATCTCCCTCCCTCCCTCCCTCCTCTCTCTGCTTTCCTTTTCTCCATGGCCACCGGAGTCTAAAGCTCCACCTACCCTTCAATGGTGAACTTGAGTTGCCATTAATGAATGTAGCTACCTTTGTCTCTCCCTAGTTTCTGAAACTTTTAATACAGAGCATATTTTTGCTCATTGATTGCTACTTCACTTCAAACTTCAACCCACGTTTCTTTTGCTCAAGAATCACTATGGCTTCTGGAGTAGTAATGTGGATGGTATTTATGAGTATTTTAATGGTAGTTTACCCCCTCACTACTGCCGCCGGCGCCAACCGCCGGATCCTTCACCAGCCTCTCTACCCACTTAGTACTCCTCTGACTCCCACACCGCCGCCGGACCCGACCCCTACAAGTATCTCTCAGACTCCCGCGGCGTCTCCGCTACCGCAGCCTCACCCGCAGCTTCAACCCAAGTACCCGTTTTCGTCGCAGTCGCCTCCCACTACTACGCCCTCATCTCAGAACCCGTTTTTCCCATATTACTCCTCCCCTCCGCCGCCGCCTCTGCCGGCTTCGACGGGCCTCCCTACGTTTCCGGCCAACATTTCTTCCCTCATTCTCCCGCAGTCTTCATCCTCCAACTCTAGCAGACCCATTTCCCGGAAACTCATCGCTGTTATAGTCGCCGTTTCTCTGGTTTTTGCTGCCCTTCTTACCTTACTGGCGGCGTTTCTCCTCCATCACCGCGACCACGAGAAAACCGACCGCCGGCAAAGAACAGACAGCCTCCGCCTTGTGCCGCCCAATGCCACTCCCTCCGACGCTGATGTCAGCGCCACCAAGAAGAAGTCACCGCCTCCGCCGTTGTTGCCTCGCTACCAAGCCACCGCCTCCTCCACTAGCTCTGAGTTTCTTTACCTCGGCACACTAGTGAGCTCTCGGGAAGTGAACGAAGACCCTGCTCAAACACCGCCCACCAACGCCGCTCCAGTGAACTACCAACGTCTGGGCTCGCCGGAGCTCCGCCCTCTTCCGCCGTTGCCACGGCCGCACTTCCGACGGAATCGTAGAAGCGCGGACGCGGACTCAGCTGACGTTGGGTCCACTGAAGAAGATGACGAGGAAGAATTCTTTTCTCCTAAAGGATCCACGGGAGGTAGAAATAGCCCCAATCTTACCGACTCCAACTCCCGGCGAGCCGCCGATGCACCGGTTCAAGTTCAGAGTAGCTTTCCGTTTTCAAATTCAAATTCTCCCACGGCTTCCTTGTCGGCCAGTCCTTCTATAGAGTTGAATTTAAGCCCTAGAAGCTTGAGGTCTAAATCACCCGATTCATTAGTAAACTTCCCGGCCCCACCTCGGTTCATTCCACCTCCGCCGCCATTACACCGGGAGATAAGGACAGTATCTGTGGCTTCTCCTTCCTCCGGCGATACTCACAATTCACCGTACCGACCTTCGGATTTCTCGGCGCAGATTTCGGAATCCCCTGTGAGTCAACTAGCTGATTCTGGGAGGTATGATGGTTCACTCAAAGCTCCGCCTCCGCCTCCACCTCCTCCTCCGCCGAGGTTTTGGGAACCTCCGGTGATGGATGGGGGCCCACCTATGCTCGTACCACCATCCAGGCCGGTGGTGAGCCAGAATGTGGCAGAGGTTAAGCATAGTTCTGAGGCAGTGGAGAAGAGAAATGAAGAAACTATGAAGCCCAAGCTCAAGCCTTTGCATTGGGATAAAGTCAGAGCCAGCTCTGATAGAGTAATGGTTTGGGATCACCTGAAATCTAGCTCTTTCCAGTAAGAAAATTGCTTTAAGTGCTCGCCATTGGAGCTTAATCTTGTTGATAATTATATTCTAGCTCTTGATCTTTTATGGATTTTGAAGAATGCTGTTTTGTTTTGCAGGTTAAATGAGGAAATGATTGAAACATTATTTATGGTAAATTCAAACTCCGATGGTGTAAAACGGCCATTGATGCCATTGTTGAATCAGGAAAACAGAGTGCTTGATCCAAAGAAGTCTCAGAACATTGCGATTTTACTGAGGGCACTTAATGTTACAGCAGAGGAAGTTTGTGAAGCACTTGTTGAAGGTAAAGCTGCTAGCTTTGCCAAATTGTGGCAGGCTTTCTTTCAAGTCTTCGGGATTAACTGTTTTATAGTTCTGATTCTTGCTTGATATCTTCCAGCATTAAAGATTTTGGATTCCATAATTGTAAATGATAATTATATTCTCTAGCTTCTTAGCAACTCCTAGAGACTAATTCGTGGATAGTGGGTATCAACTAATTCTTGAATGTCTTTAGATGTCTCACATAAATGATCCTTCTAGCTTGTCATTGTTCAAAGATTATGTCGTTTTTCTCTTATATATGATGTGTTCTAGATTGTGGCACTGTATTATTTAAGATTGTCTTTTGGTTTTGCAATTGTAAACAGGAACTGCTGACAGCTTGGGAACGGAGCTACTCGAGAGTTTATTAAAGATGGCTCCTACTAAAGAAGAAGAACGTCAGCTGAAGGAATTCAAAGACGAATCGCCATTTAAACTATGCCCTGCTGAAAAATTTCTCAGGGCAGTGCTCGATATACCTTTTGCCTTCAGAAGGGTGGATGCTATGCTCTATATAGCCAACTTTGATTCGGAGGTTGAGTACCTTAAGAGATCATTCGAAACGCTTGAGGTATGCTGTATTCTCATGACTTGTTTTGGTCTTTGGACTAGATTTAAGATCTAATTTATGCATTATTACAGGCTGCATGTGAAGAGTTGAGGAAAAGCAGAATGTTTCTGAAACTTCTTGAAGCTGTTCTCAAAACTGGGAACCGGATGAATGTAGGAACCAATCGTGGGGATGCCCGTGCATTCAAACTTGACACGCTTCTAAAGCTCGTAGATGTCAAGGGTACTGATGGGAAAACCACACTTCTTCATTTCGTTGTGCAAGAAATCATAAGAGCAGAAGGCTCTCGTCTCTCTGGTTTCAAGGTAAAATTAGACGGGGAAAAGATTCAGCAACCTGTCCTCCGAGAGGAGGTTGAGTTCAGAAAGATTGGGCTTCAAGTTGTTTCTGGACTATGCGGGGAGCTTACCAATGCCAAGAAAGCTGCTACCATGGACTCGGAGGTTCTCACTAACGAAGTTGCAAAATTAGCCGATGGAGTTGCCAAGATTGCTGAAGTAGTGAGGTTGAACGAAGAAGTGGCACTCAAGGAGAACAACCGGAATTTTTCTGAGTCAATGAATGCCTTCCTAAAGAAGGCGAAAGTAGAAATCATGAGTATTCAATCCCAGGAAGACACAGCTCTCTCCATGGTGAAGGAGTTGACAGAATACTTCCATGGTGACTTGGCTAAAGAAGAAGCTCATCCCTTCCGCATTTTCATGGTTGTTAGGGACTTCCTTTCCATCCTCGATCAGGTATGCAAAGATGTCGGCAAGATAAACGAACGAACCATAGTCAGCTCAGGCCGCCAATTCCCAATCCCAGTCAATGCAGCGCTCCCGCTGGTTTTCCCAGGATACCTCGAGAAACACCATGATACATCCTCGTCTGACGATGAAAGCTCCTCCTCAACTGTGTAGTTAGGTGACTTTCTTGTATAGCTGAACCCCAGAACAGGGCAATGAATGGGGGTTTTCCTTTTGATGCCTGGATTCAATTTCGCCTTTTGGTTTTTACATGTTCTTGGAATCATAGTATGTAACATAAGTAGAAGGTAAACAAACATGTTACTCCTATCAAACAGTATTATGGTATTTGATCTATATGGCCTGTGAGTTAACTTGTAAATTTTCCAGAAACAGCAGTTATAATCCAGTATCTCCTTGAAGATTGGCAGTCTCTTGTGATATAACTACATCCACATATATATATTTTACAATACATTATTTCTTCTATTGATAGATTACACATTATAACCTTACAATATGGTCTGCAGAATATATACCATATATTATTTGAGGTCATAAAAAAGCTGACCGCCGAGATGAGAAAGGGCCAAGTGCAATCTTTGCTGCCTGCACTTTGCTTACTAACACTCTCCATTTAACTTCCTCTTTCTTGCTATGCTGCACCACTTTCACCTTGAAATGCCTACAGTGGACACGGAAAATTCACAGAAAGAATCATAATCCCAACCATGACCTTTGGTCTGGCTCTGATACCAAATTGAAGCATGTGCTCAACTAAAAGTCTAAGCTGATAGTTGAATTGCACATTAATGGTTATATGCTCAACAACACTCACCTACAAAGAGGAACGCTGCAAACGTCGGATTCATTGCACATCCGGGAATGAAGTTCGAGAAGCTGCCACATTCGCTTACACTGCACACATCCGCCAGGAACTCTGGTTCTACATCCGGAGAAATGGCGGACCAAAGTTTCCAGTCCCTTGCATGCCGGGAAATTACAACCACCATGGCCTCCTTTCAGCACTTTATCTCGAGGTCCAATCGTCCGACACCCATCCTTGCAAATATGAACGAGGGCTTCCATGGCCTCGTAGAGTTGCAAATAAACCTTTTTCTCTTCGATTTTCCTCTGCTGCTCTTGTTTCCTCTGAAACACAGGGTAATTGAATTTAAGGCGCCCATCTCCTGGCAATATATCATTATCTCACTAAAAAAAGTTTCAGTTGAAACCATAACCACCAAAGATTAGCTATGTAATAGGGAATGTCAAACAAGGCGAAGAACTATCTTACCGTATCTGCTTCCACGACATATTCTAAAAGCTCTTGTTCGAGTGCTGGATTTGAACGTCTCATTATTTTCCATCCCTCGGTTGACGATATGGTTTTGAAGTCCCTCACAATCATCTGAGTACAGACAAACGAAAGCCGTGATGCATCGCACTTCCTTGCTAACTGAAGCACGTCTATCACGTTTTCCGAGTCGAGTGAACCTTGCTCTAAAATGTGTTCACACACCCTTTTAAGTGAAGGTAATGAGTAGGAATGCGATAAAACTAACAAATGGAGAGCAAACTTCTTCATCTCTCCTTCATCATAACTGCAATTCAATACAGAGCAATTTAATCTCAATCTCCTCATTCACAACACTTAAAACCACTAAATTATGAACACAATACATTATAACTCAAGTTTCCCTCATTGGTTTCATAGCATTTTATAACAAAATGTATTAATTAGCATTTTTACGTGCACAACTGATGAAATAGCTAAAAATGGCTGTTCTCAACAGTTCTAGAATACCTGGAGGAATAAAGGAAACGGATGAAGATGAAGACAGCATCATAAGGCATGCCCGGGATCATTATATATCTGATCCCATTATTCGCCTTAGATTGCTGCAGGAAATTCCCCAATACTGGTGAAGCAACACTCTGTGAACAAATGATAAAGAAGAAATGCCAAAAGTCAGGACCATTTTAAAAAACAAAATCTATTAGCTAACCCAATGGAAGATATGGAGGATTTCAAATTTGCTAACTGACCAGAAGACTAGAATGAGCTGGAATAATAGACCCATCCTCTGTCATGATATGTACATCTGCTCCATATCCTTCCACGAAGAGTTTGTCCCACGTATCTTTCACATTCTTCAGGATGCAACAAGAATCAGCAAGCCCTCTACGAGCACTGTCTCTTGAGCAGACTTTAGGAGGCGGTGGAGGAGGTTTTGGAACTTGACGCCTACAACAAACGGGAGACTTGGGCTCCTCCTCGACAAAAAGTAAAGTGCCTTCTGAATCAGTTCCCTCTACGCTTATGTTGAAAGTCCCATCAAAGGATTCAATGGCCGAGGATGGACATGAACTATCACTGTCTGATGAAGCCATATGATACTAAGTTGAAATGTAGTATCAAGAAACAAATTTCACAAGAACCTAATAAATCCCAAAAAAAAAGAAAAAACCAGAAGTTATAAGAGCTGCAAATACATCATTAAAATGCATAACGCCATGATATATGTACATAGAATATGTGGCTAACATGCACGCAAAACAATATATAGGCATAATACTCATGATTTATACTTCCAACACTCTGAGTAAAAGCGACACATTATTCCTTAAGTTCAATCTATTCAAGGTCAAGCAAGTCCTAGTAAATCCTTATGTTAAAGCAAGTCCTAGTAATTAGTAAACTAATTGGGATAATCAAGAATGCAACTTTGATGTTAAATGCTCCTTCCATGCTTTTAGAAACCTTAAATCCAACCAAACTGGATAGACCATAAAAAGGGCCATATTTACTATCACAGACAACATACGCAAATCCTTATGTTAAAGCAAAACACATCACACTACAGAGACGCATATCTTCGCCGATCACTCATCGGTAAAACCCGATCATCTGAAACTTAAACATTAGATAGTAATCAAGAATTATTACACTACAAAATCACCCACTAAAGTAATAAATAAACAAAATTCTTCCTTTTTAATCGAGAGTTGTGAGTTGTGAATTTGTGATACTACAACTTGTAAAATAAAAACATAAACTAATGAACCAAAGATTGAATCTTCCAAGCAGCCCATATCAGCAATCAAGGTGAAGTGAATTCCATCTTATTCACAAACCATAATTAACATCGAATCATTCAACAGAACATTATCAGATAGTGAAGAAAAATGCATAAAATCGATACTTACTGGAATTAAAACTTGCCTACACAGATTGTATAGTTAATAGTTTTTTGGGAGACGGGCAAAAAGCGAACGAAGCGGATTGTATAGAGAAGGAGCACGACACGAGGATTCTGAGGTGGGGCGGGGCGGGGATCTGTTTAATGAATCTGTCTCGTACTGTATTTATTTTGTTTTGATGTAACAATTTACTTCTATTTTAAGGTACTTTATTCTCAATTTCCATTTTCTCCACCACTCATTTTTTTTAAAGAAAATTTAATTACATTTGATGACTTTAAATATTCTCCTCGCAGAAGATTTCACATTTGAAGTTTGTAAATAAAAGATTTATATGCACTAATTATAATTTGAGATCTTTTTTACAGTATCTATAGTATTAGATATAACTCTTTTGGGAATCAATAGTTCGTAATATAATCAAATATACTATACATGATTATATATGATATGATATGAAAATCCACAACAATTATACTAAAATAAATATGAATCCAAAGTTTAGATTGCATTTAAAGTTTCATTTAGTAATGATAAATCGTTTGACTTAAGTTGATTAAGAGAAATTATGATCTTTTTATTAATAAGTTTGTATTATCATAAAATATATATATATTTTTTATATCCAGTGCAAAAATTACATTTTACTTACTAAAAAATAAAAATTAAATTTTGTCTTAATTCTTTCAAAAGACAAATGATTTTTACATTATAATTTATAAGTATTGAAAAAAAAATCCAAATATTGGTGAGCAGATAAATATCAATCAGAATTTGATGATAATTAAGGACGGTTAATAATGATTTCAAGATTTTTTTTAATGTTATTAATAATATTTTAATATGTTAAAGATGGAATGAATCTTGAGATTTGAGAAAGGCTCTTCCAAATGTAATATGGTAAAATAGTTATTTTTTCCCGTTAAAATTATTTATCTATACGTTTTAAAAAATAAAGTATTTTTTACAATGTTTATTGATTATTTGTAAATTATTTAATTATATTACTAGATAATAAAAAATTTAATACAATAATGTCAAAAAAAGAAAAGAAAAGAAAAGAGGTGACATGGCTAGTTGTCAGTTGTCTGCGTCTGGATGTGGTGGTGATAATCAGATTGAAATGATAATGACCGGGTTGTGGAACACGGGCGTTCAAGCAATCAGAAATTGCCACGTGGTGAGTAAGACGCTGAGTACAATTTGGGCGGCGGCATGAAACCAAACCAACTATGGGCTATGCCTGCATGCCTGAATGGACGGTCACCGAAAGACAGACCAATTATAAATATAGGGCTGCATTTAGGTACGATTGTTCGTTCCGGATAAAAATGAGAACGTATTATATTCGTTTATGCTTTCAGATCTAACGCATGAGAAATTTAGAAATATTGATTTTTAAATAAAATAGAGTGATATTTTTACAAATAATTGAATATCAAAGTGTAAGTAAAATGTATTACAAGTGTAAGTAGCAGTTTCATATAGTGCACCTCAGTGTAAGTAAAATGTATTATAAATGCAGATAAAATGTATTACAAGTGTAAGTAAAATTTATACTGATAATCAATAATAAGTGCACCTAACGTTATAACTAGGTGCACATAATATTATAAGTAATTGCACCTACATGCATGAATGTTAACAAGGTAAAATTACTTGCACTTGTAAGTCAAAGTAGGTGCACTTGTAAGTGATTTTACTTGCAAATGTGCACCAACTACTTGCACTTATAACACATTTACATGCACCAAAGTTTGAATTATTTATGAAAATGCCACCGCATTTTTTTTAAAAAAATTACATCTGATTCGTTAATCTGGACACGTGGACGATTGCATTGTTATTCCTCTCCCAGGCGCTAGTTCACATGAGTGTGTGTCCCTATATATATATATATATATATATATATATATATATATATATATATATATATATAGGCTTCGGGTTAAATGTGGTAATAGGCTTCAGGTTAAAGATGAGGTTTAATCTCAGCCATTGATCTAATCAAAATCAATAGTCCAGATTGAACACAGATTATATAAAAAAAATGCGGTGACAATTTGGTCTTTTTGCATCTATGTCAAATTTAAGGAGCATGATTTTCTTTCTTAAGGTGCGTGGTTTTTGTGCTTAAGGTGCGTGGTTTATATGTTTTGTGTTTAAGGTGCTTCAGTTGTTGAAACTTAAAGTGCGTAGTTTTCCTTCTTTAAGGTGTGTGGTCTGTGTGCTTAAGGTGCGTCTGTTGTTGAAACTTAAGCTGTGTCGACCTAAAGCTTTAGGTGCGTTGTTTTCCTTCTTAAGGTGCGTCGGTCTAAAACTTTAGGTGCGTGGTTTTCTTTCTTAAGGTGCGTTGACTTCCTTCTTAATGTGCTTTATTTTTCCTTCTTAAGGTGCGTTGTTTTCACTTTTAAGGTGTGCCATTTTTTTATTTATTTATTTTTTTTTGCAGTCCCAAAACACAACCACTATCCTTTTGCAATCATGTTTAAGCAATTAGTTAATGGAAGTAGAAATAATGTAAGTTTTATTGCTTATGAGTTGCCAACAATGGTGGTGCTGTCTTCTTAAAATCAATGTTGTCAACCTTTACCTCACCTCACCATCAATCAGTTCGTAAACATACACCACAACTTGTAGGCCATCGATGTCCATGAGAACAAAACTGGGGTTAACATTATTAGTAGCACTATTGTGAGCGCCAATAGCAAATCCTGGGTTTATAACAACGTCTTTTTTTTTTTTATTATTAATTTGAGCAGTTGATCTAGATTTAATCAACGACTCAGATCTAACGTAACCTCATCTTTCACATGAGAGATCCTTCACACCAAAACCAGCTCATATATATATATATATATATATATATATATATATATATATATATATATATATAGAGGCTCCTTAATTACAAAAATTGTTCTCCCATATATGCATGCCCTTTTCGCCCTAAATAATGTTGATTATTTTGTCTTGTTGGCTAGCTGGATGTAATTTTTCACTAGGATCAAATATGTTTAGTTGGAAACTTAGAATAGAGGTTACAAATATATTAAATTAGGGAGTGATTTTTAGACGCAGATAAATAAAATTAATTTTAAGTTTATTTGAATTTTGTGAATAAAAGATTTATATTCTGTTTTTCAGTCTTGATAGAAACTACTCAAACAAGGAATGATAATGGAGTAGGGTAGGGTGGGTGTAGGAGTATATCCTTGCCTCTGTATTCCTATCTCTTACCCTATCCTCTGCACTTGCCCTCACACCTTTGTGGGTAAATGGGTAATGAAATCCATTTGATATAGTAAATAACTTTGTGATATAGTGGTATAAAATATTTTTTTTTTTAAAAAAAGAGGTAATAAGTTTGATTCCTAATGAAAATGATATGAACTCTTTCTGTTTTAGTATGTTGAAAAAGTAATTATGAATAAATATTATATTGTAACAGAGTCAGTAGTACCAACATTATCATTAGTACTAAAAAAAATAGTTACAAATTTTAACATTAGCAAGTTAAATCCTTGTATTAATTAGTACCAAATTAAATATAATTATACATTTCATTAGTAGTTAAATCATCATCTTATTACTAAAAAAAAATGACAAATTAAACTACAAATTTCAACATTTGCCCTTTACATCTCATCCACTTATCTCAAAGATTTAAAATAAATAAAAATTACTCCGTAATAATTATGGAAGATTTCATTATATCTTATAAAAGTTTAATTTCAGTGATATATAGATTATATTTATAATACAACATGTACCTTTATTTCTTCCAAAAGATTCAAAATGTATATATTTATAGTTAATACTAGTTTTTTACGCGCATTGCGCCATTTGGGTAGTGCCCAATATTTTTCATAAATAAGTATATTAAAGTATATCAAGGTAAAATTATAATATTTTACTTCGTATTTTAATATATTTATATTTAACTATAAATGCACTGAGCGTCTGAGCCAAATACTTTGTGCTTAGATGATGCTTCTGTGGCTCCCCTTGAGGGAAAGTCACTGGATCGAACCCTGGTGGTGAGGTATTAACTCTTTGGGTTGCACTAGTTAGAGAAAATATAGATAAGATACTATATACCTTGTAACACTATTGCAAAAATCGGTGACGCCCCTTGACCGTGGAGATTTCTCTCCTAGGCACCCTCCTAGCGCCGCTTAACTCGGCCAAATTCGACCGAGTTAAGTAGTTAACTCGTCCATTTCGGTCGATTTAACTGAGTTAACCCGATCGGCTCATCTTTTTCTAATTTTTTTCATTATGTATGTGTGTGACATATATATACCCACATACGTGCACTATTTTTTTTTTTTTAGTTAGCAGCATATGCGTCCGCCTAAACTATCTAGGTGCTAGGCACTCCTCTACCACCCGACTAGCGCCTAGCACTTAGTGCAACCATGCTTTGTAAATTGTAATAGATTCAATACTCAATAGTATTAAAAAAAAACTATAAATACATTGTAGTGTTAGAATACTTCCCTCACACGTGTCCCATACTTATACTCATTACTCAAATCATGTAGTATTTTAAAATTATATATTAGTAGAGGCTGAAGATATGAATAACCTATTAAGTACGCAAATACAATTCTCACCACTAGTTATTTTTATTATTTTGAATACAAACGAGGGTGATATCCGAAGAGCTTAATACAAAGGAGGGTGTCACCACTTTTTTTTTTCCTAATATTTTATCAAACAGAATGGGTAATTTATTACAATTTAAAATAAACTATAAGTTCTAAAATAAATTATACTTGTAAACATGGGTTAATAAGTGCTGTTACTTTATTTTCCCTTACATCATCATATCAAAGAGCCGCCATTAAATTAATTAATCCATGCAACCACATCAAATTAAATTAAATGTTTTATTATAATTAATTTCTAACAACCAATAAGAGCAAATGATGCATGGTTGATCATCTTGAATTGTGTTCATTTTTTATATGTTTTAAAGTTGTATGTTGTAGTAAATCTTTGGACCTATACTTTTTCTTATATTAAAATTTCAGGTGTTATATATAATTATTCAAGTTAATTAATTGTTTTGAACTTAGAGAGTGTATATGAGATAGTCATGTTTATTCCAACTTATGTATATGTATATTTTGGACTTAAGCCTAAGGTTTGAAAATACAACTACTTTAAACTTATGAAGGAGTGCTTAGTTACTTTTTAAGAACATATTCGACTCGAATAAGATTAGTTTTTATTTGTGGGGTTGGAATTAATGTTCCCCTTCTTTACTTTCTAATTTTAGATCAAATAAAAATTTTGTAAAAAATTATAAAGAAAGATTTATGAATTGATTGGTCATTTACTCATTTACAAATATTTAAGTTCAAATATAATATTATTTATGAAAAATTCTACAATGTTAAAAGAATATAATATTTACTACTACAAATAGAACAGACAAGACATTTTTGTAAATATAACTACGCAGTATCATTTTATTTATAAACAATGTCATAATCTCTTTTAATTTATAAAGTGAATACTGTCTTTTCGACATTGTAGAAAAATTCAAAATTTATATTTTAAGATATTGAAATGTAATGAATGCCTCATAGCTTATCAGATGGACTCTTTCTCAATAGCCAGGCCAATAGGACGTACTCTGGGAGTTTCACCATCCTTGCAAAAAACAAATTAGTTACAATTATTAATTAACTAAACAAATGAATAAAATTAAATCAGATCGGCGACTTGAAAGTTACAGCAGCATTATTATTAATTACTTTCTTTTTATTTTTATTTTTTGAAAATAAAAACATATAACTCTGTTTGATAAAATAGTTAGTCTATCGGCCAGTTTTGACTTATTTCACCATTATTAATTGTTTGACTTGGTTAAAAAATCAATGTAAATATTTGGTTAATTAGCTTTTTGTAACTCCAAAATGCTAAAACTCAAAAAACTGCTCAAAGCAACTTTTTCAATTAGCTTTTTGAGAAAAGAAATATCAATCAACTATCAGCTAACAACTAATTTATCAAACACTTTTCTACAGTCAGCTAATGTTATCAACTAGTTATATCCTCTAATCAACTCAATCAGCTAACCACTAACAGCCATTTATCAAAATGCAGGGCCATAATTAATGAATTAAATGTAGAATATAATTAAGAGGGGATAGACCACATACTATACCTTAAGGTGCTCGAGATTAGTCATTGTGGTTCACTGTGAAATCCTTGAATACACCCCCAAAAAGAAAAACAGTAAACAAAATCTAAATAAGTTAATAAATCCTTGAATTTTGTGTGGAATAAATTTTGACAAGTGTTCAAACCTTATCCTTTACCCACAAAAGAGGTTCAATTCAATAGTTAATACAAAACCTTATAATACCATCGTCTCTTTTTACAGAGGTGGCTAGTGGGTGGATTTGCAGCTAGCGAAAAGAAATTAAGAAAACATATGATCGAATATGGATATGGAGACGGGCGCAGATGTTATAGCGGTTCCATTTCCATTTCAAGGTCACTTAAACCCTATGCTTCACTTCTGTTCTTGTTTATCCGCTAGAGGCCTTAAAGTCACCTTGCTCCTCACACATGGAGTAGCAAAGTCCATGCAATTCCCCCTTTCCCACAGGGTCGAGTTAATTTCCGATGGCACCGACGTGGGCGACCCGCCGCGCACCCACCAAGAATACCGCACTCGTCTGCAAGCCGCGGTTTCCGAGGGAGTCGCCGCCGTTATTCAGAAGCAGAAGCAGAAGGCTAAAGTTCTGGTTCATGATTCAATCATGCCTTGGCTTTTAGAGGTGGGAAGAACGGGTGGGTTGCGAGTCGCTTCTTTCTTTACAGAACCCGCTGCGGTTTGTGGCATCTATTACCATATGCTCTGTGGCACCCTCAAACAACACACTGCTTCTGATTCTACGGTGCGTTTGCCTTCGTTTCCGGCGATAATGGACTTCGCCGATCTGCCTTCCTTTTCATACTTCGGAGATATTGCTGAAGAAGTTAAAGAGTTTACTATCAATCGGGCCATCAACATGCCCAAAGCCGACTGCTTTCTGTTCAACACATTTGACTCCCTAGAAGAGCAGGTAAATTTCGTTGGATTTTTTTTATTTTTTTTTTTTTAAATTAATGATTTTTTACAGTCTTTTTTTTTTTGGATACATTTGATTTGGATTTGGGATGAGATGATACCCGGGGCAAATTATTCTTTGGACCGGCTCCACCTAGCAAGGTGGACCAGGTCCAAAGATACACGAATTACATTTTAAATGTTCACAATTTACTTTTTAAAAATTCACAATTTAGGATAATCCTATATTGTATTTACAAATTCTTAAAATTTAAAAACACAATTTATATTCTAAATGTTCACAATTTCAATACTAAAAATACATAATTTAAGACCAAATTGAGTTCATATATTAAAAACGAGACATGACATAAATGACATAAAAAAGAGACATGGAATATCATATATAACAAGGATATAAAATGTAGTTATATGATTGATTGTAGCTCCTGTCCATTAATTATGTTATAGGAAAGATAATTTACTGATCAAGTCCAGCAAATTATTTAAGCCATCTTAATGATGTTATTATATATATGTTTTAGGTAGTGAAGTGGATGGCGGAAAACTGGGCGGTGAAGACCATAGGACCTTTGGTCCCAACGATACACAAGACATTGAAGGGCGGAAAACATGATAGAATTGACCTATTTGAGTTGGATAGTGAAAGCTACTTAAAATGGCTAGACATTAGAGAACCCAAGTCTGTGGTTTATGTATCATTTGGAAGTTATGTGGTGATGTCGGAAGAGCAAATGGAGGAAATAGCATGGGGGTTGGTTCAATCCAACAAATACTTCATATGGATTGTTAGAGAATCTGAATTAGTTAAACTCCCTAAAGATTTTAAATTTAAAACATTTGAGAAAGGTATAATTGTGAAATGGTGTTCTCAAGTTGATGTTTTGTTACACAGGGCAGTTGCGTGCTTTATGACTCATTGTGGATGGAATTCCACACTGGAAGCATTGTGTTTGGGTGTGCCAATGGTTGGCATGCCATATCTTGCAGATCAACCAACTAATGCCAAACTGATTGAGGATGTTTGGAAGGTAGGTATTCGAGTTAAGGTGAATGAGAAGGGAATCTTTACAAGACAAGAAATTCAAATTTGTATAAAACAAGTGATGGAGGGAGAGAAAGCTAATGAGTTTCGAAGGAATGTAGTAAAATGGAAAGGATTAGCAGAAGAAGCAACAAGTGAAGGTGGAAGTTCTGATGTGAATATCAAAGATTTCATCTTTCAAATGGCTTATGGCAAATGAAGGCAAAAGTTGTTGGTTTTAGGGTTTTCAAGCCCAGAGAAGTCCAACCCAACCGTGGTTGGTGAATTCACCTTTTAAATAAGGCTAAGTGATCTACAAAGGGAATGATCGTAATCTCTTGTATATTGTAATCTTTTGTATAGCGAAATGTCATTTCCCCTCTTAAAGTAACTAAATAAATAGTTATTGCCTTTACCCTCTCCAACTCGCAAATTATTCTTTGGATTCAGGTTCAAATGTTCACAATTTATTTTTTAAAAATTCACAATTTGTATATTACGAAAACACAATGTTAACATATATGTAATTGATTATCTTGTTTTGTATTCACAAATTTCTTTCAAATACTGCAGTCATACAATATTAACATATATAGGATTTGGTGACCCTGTATTGTATTCACAAATATTACTTTCTACAGTTGTTATGTACACAATTTATATTATGGAAGTTCACAATTTCAATACTAAAAATACACAATTTATACATTGTTTAGAACCAGGGCAAGATGGACCCTGTCACCCTGGTCCATGGTATAACAACTCCTCTCCAACCTATTTCTACCAAAAAAACACTAAACTATACTCTGCCTTAATTTTGAGAACTTTGCAGGATAAAATGAGATCTTGAAATTGGTCTTAAAACCAAGCCTCTCCTCAAGCCAGTTACGCATGTAAAAAAAGCAAGAGTCAATTCTTAAATGTTAAAACGTAAAACTTTCTAACCAAATTTGCTAACATGCTACAATTATACATTTCTTAGCCAAGTTCAGTGTTTGGTTAGACTATTATGGTAATTTATAATTTGAAATAAAAAGTCAAAAGTTAATTAATTAGGCGAATAATATTTTTTAAGAGGTTCAATATATTTTACTGAATTAACTATTCTAGTAAATAATATATAATTTTAAATAAGAATTCAAAAATCAATTCTTAAATGTTAAAATGTATTACTTTTTAACCAAGCGCTAACATGCATGCTAATTAATTAGTCGAATAATGCTTTTTTTTTTTTTTTTTTTTTTGCCAAGCTCAATATTTGGTTGAACTATTCTAGTAAACATTTTATAATTTTAAATAAAAAGTTAAAAGTCAATTCTTAAATGGTAAAATATACAACTTTCTAGTTGCAAGATAGCATGTTATTGTGTACATTAGTAATGATTGTGGACATTATTGTGTAACGGTTTCCTTTATGTCTCCATTATTGTATTCCGTTACACTTGTTATTATATATATGTCATTCTAATGTAATGATCATAGGTGTGGTATAAAGGAATAAGAAACCCTCTATTTTGTCTCTACTCTTCTTCTTGTTCTTACTGTTCTTCACGAGCTAAAGGCCTGCAAACAAACTTGCAATACAACACGTTATCAGCACGCTCAATCCAGGTGAACGGTAACTTTTATGAGTTTTTTATGCCTTATTATTTTCCGGATGCCTCAAAATCATATGTGTTTATGCTTTATGCATTTTTGAATTTATGAAAACTTGATCATATGATTATATTTTTTTGATAATATACTTCTGCATCCGTAAGTATATACTTACTGTGAATATGTATATCATGAATGAATAAGTTTACTGTGCAAATACATATATTTCGTAGCAATGAACCAAAAATATTGATGTTGATGAATATTTGATGAGGAACCAAAATTTTTTGGCCTATGCTTATATGTGACTTCATATCAAATATGCGTGCAATTTTTCTTGCAATATCTAAAATTCTAGTTGCTAGATGTACTAAGTCTGGAATTTTGCATATGATATATATTTTTTTTCCGGAAAAATTGTATTGCTTTCAATATATACACTATTTTTTACATACTGGCATGAAAAATATGATTGATTAATTATTTTTGGTATGATAATTCGTTTAGTACAATGAGAAATTGTTTAGAATGAGTTTTTTTCATACCTTTCTTCCCCCTCCATCGCCGTCGCGCCTGTCATCTGAGCCACGTCGGAGGTGTTGCAGCGGCGGCATGGGGCGGCTATTTTTTCGCGGCGGCTGTCCAGCAGTCCAGCCCCTGTTTTTAGAAGTGATCGGAGAGGGACAAAAATAGATCCCGTTTTTTTTTCGGCCGATCGTCCCCCATTTTTTTCTGATCTGCACCATCATCGCATGGTGGGCTGTGAGGATGGCCCTATGGGTGGCCGCGGTAGAGGCGAGCGGCGGCTATTACGAAGATCGTGGTCGCGTTACTGACGACCGGTGGTGGTCTGCGGCAAGGGCGGCGATCAATAATGGCGGTTGGCGGAGGTCTCTTCGTTTTATCGAAACCGTTTGCGTAAATACAAGCCCCATAACGCCAGAAGCGTTATTAATTTCGCGTTGTTTACGGATGATTTTTGCTTTTATTCCTAAAAAAAAAAAAAAACAACGCCAGAAGCGTTAATTCCTACTTAGGATTTGGATTGGACCACCTTTAAAATAAATGGACCATCTTTATTTTTGAACCATTCTTACATAAAAATCCTAAGTCCCATATTTTTTTTATAAAATATGTTTTTTCCTTGGTCCTCATTAAAACTATTTCCGGTAGAAAATAGTTGCTCTTGAAAAAAGAGAATTCACTGAGCTCGCACTCAATGGAAGAAATTTCTTTATTTGGGTGTTTGATGTTGGAATATATCTTGCATCTATAAAACTGCCAAACACCATCAAAGAGGCATCTACGAGTATTGAGGCCCAGAAGGCAATACCGCTCATTTTTCTTCGTCACCACCTTAACCATGACCTCATACAATGAATATTCAATCTCTATTCCATGCCTTCGAGCATGCTTCTGCTTGAACGATTCTTTCATATCTGAATGCAAATATACCATATAGTGGATCGTTTTTAAGCATTATCTTGATACCCATTTTTTCTCTCAATTATATTGTGGGCTGTTTTTGGAATAATAAAATATTCCTAATAATTCTTGTAGCTTATGCCATATGCTTTTGCATCTCGTCGATGCGCATGCATAGAATTAGAGAGCTTAATTAAAATACATAATATTGTGACACTTTTTTGATGTGACCACCAAATACATTGTATGGTCGGTGCACTTGTTGTCAAGTGTCAAATTTTTGTTGTGTCACAAATTGCTATCTCATGCCTTACAGGGATGTGAGTCATCACAAAAGAGCATTTACTGATTTGCTCTTAATGGTAGCAATTGTTTGCTATACGCCATATATTTTAAGATTTATTATAAATCTTACTAGAAGCTTTGCCCGGATGGCAAATCAAAGCCACTGTTTATTATGGGACAATCCCTGAAGGATCGTTTTAATCAACAAGTGGTCATAGTCTGAATTCTAAATATAGTTTTGCCTAGAAGGTAAATCAAGAGCACTATTTTTATTTGTCACCCGTTATCTTGCCCCAACCCTCGATTATAGATATTTGATCTAAAAGGATTTATAGACCCTAAGTCAATCCCTGAAGGATATTTGGTGTATGCGGGTCTTATTGTCAATGGTCGTATTGTACTCCAGTAGTAGTACATGACAAAATTATGCTAAGTGTTTGGTCATTGGACTATTTTTTTAATAAGGTCTGGAAGACCCTGAATGTGGATTGATCTTTAAGGTGACTAATGACTCATGAATGAAGTTTGCAACTTCTATTTATAATGCTATGCTACTCTCCAAAAGTCAATATTGACTCACATCATGTTGGTTTGCCTGAAGCAAACAAGTTGTGATTTTTTTTACACATAGTAATCACTGCCTGAAAATTCTGACCGGCGCAGTTTGAAAATTAAATTCGTGAAAAATACTTGTTGAACTTCTTTTGGCATGAAATTTTTTCTGGAGAACCTAGACTCGTGATATTTGATGTCTGTAAAAATATTTTGTTAAAAATATGCTTTGGTTATTCCAGAAAAATTTGTAAAGTTTTGGCAGTGTGCTGCCAATTATTTTTCTGCCTGGAGCAATGTTGTGAAAAATTTCAGAAAAAATACTTTCACACCTTGGATTGACATGAAAATTTTTATGTACGTTCTAGACTTGCTGAACTACATATCTGCCAAATTTTGTGTCAAAATGTGTTACCTTTTTCCCCAGAAAATTCTGCAATCCAGGTCAAAATTCTGAAAATTTTCTGCCGTTTTCAGCTTGTATATCTTGCTATTTTGTGATGTTTTCATGCTGAGATATGAAACTATGAAATAAAATGAGAGTTTGCTTGGAAAAGTGCTGTTTTTGACGCCCCGAAATAGGAATGAATGGGCCCGGCAGCGAACATGTGCTCATTATTATTCGGCGAACGGTACTTCTCTCATTTTTCTAATTTATGAATTAATAAACAATATCTCTTGTCATGTCATGCCTTGTGTGTACCAAACATGATATTCTTTATTTAATGGATATGCATGACTCAATTGAGTGTTTGGTGTCCAAGACATAAGGGACAATTATATCACATGTTGCATGTGCTTCTCTTTAATTGACAACATTTAGCATATAATCTCTTGATTATGTTCACATAAGAGATTTTGTTATTTATCTTGTTGGCAATTTATGATTTGCTATAGGCCATAGCTATTGAGATTTATCACCCAACTTATAAGTGGGAAAATAGCATGAATTCTCAATATGGTTAGGTTGCACCTGTCGTTGCTAAACCTTAGCTTGCATGTGATAATAGTTAAAGGCTATGACATGTTTACAATGCTAGTTTCTGCTATAGAAACTTTTTGACATGCGATTTGGGCATATGATATTTAAATTTATAGCTCTCATTATTTTGTATATTTATTTGCCCTGAAGGTAGATTAAGGATTTTAATTCTCTAAGTCATCCTTTTAGGATGAATCTTGACAATGAATTCTTGACCAAAAATGGTCAACCTATCCCATCAATCCCCGAAGGATTGTTTGACGTTACTATGAGTCAAATTCTTTTTATCCAAGTCTAACTCAATGCATATCACAAATCAATCCCTCAAGGATTGCTATACCCCCTTTTTCACCTAGTACGTGATTTCAGAAGTAACATTTTCCTATCTGCGTTATTTTATTTGCGCAGTCTATTTTATATCACCACCACAACGTACCTCTAAAAGGGCTATCAAAGAAACCTCCGTCTATTGATTAAATACAGAAAGCCCATGATAGGGGATCAATACATATAATTGTGTACGTTGACTGCATTCCTAATGAAGATTGTTTCTCGGCATTAGGGGGAGATAATATACTACTCCGTAGCTTTTTGGAATGCCAAGAAATTTCATAAGGATAAAAACATCTTCATTATTTAAATCCATGTACTAGTTAGATTGAACTGG